ATCACCCATCACCCAACCCAACCAGGTCCCTCCTGCTCAAGTACGGCTATCTTCGGTCCTCCCTGCCGCCATTCGCCCAGCTGCGGAGGGAGGCAATCAACGGACGGAGGAAGCAGCTCAGGGCGGGAGTGCAGAACCTGCCGGGGGTGGCACTGGGGCTGATGCAGCAGCTGCCGGGACCCGCCCAGAGGTCACCGCCGCCGCCAGGGCTGCCCACCGGCGGAGGCAGCGGCCGCGGCGGCCGTCTGCTCGTACGATCGCCTAGCATGCCGCCGCCCCGCACGGCGCTGGCGGCTGCACCGGTGCCAGCGGTGGCAGCGGGTCTTCTGCCTGTTGAGGTCCTAGAGCAAATGGTGCCATGGGGTTACGGGGTGGGGGTGCATGGGCCGGGTGGGTACATTGGCAGGGCCAGTAACGGGTGCGGATGTGGGAGGGGCTAGTTGCTCCGTGGCGCTGAAATGTCTCCTCACCCCCCCCCCTGGTCCTCCTCGCCGACCCTCAAAAGACTCCTCCAGGGGGGAGCTGGCGATACAACTCTCCTTGTGCCTCCTGTATTCCCCCCTCTACCCACTGCCTCCTAACCTGGTGCCGTACACGTCCTGCCGCTGCTCTCGGGGCCCCACAGGATCTGAACAGCTCCCGTACGGCAGCGGTCCTTGGTGGCCTGGACTTGGTGCCCTGGACTGGCGCCGCCGCCGCCGCCGCCGCCGCCGCGGAGCCCGCAACCCCTGATTGCGTGAGTGCAATGGCTACCGGGAGGTTAGGAGGGGCTGCCGTGGGCGGTGGCGGCGGCGGCGGCGGCGGGGAGAGTGGCACTGGCGGAGCTTCCGCCCCGACCCTCGCCCTGGCTGAGCGACTGAAGCGGCTGGGACCTAGGAGCGGGCAGACCAGTGGGCGATGGCAGGTGAGGTGGTTGGCAGTTGACAGTTGTTGGTTGGTAAGTGGTTGTGGGATGGCACGTAGCAACTCGCAGCTCCCCCCCGGGAATCGTTGTTATTACAACGACCTCTTTCGCAACGTCCGCGGTGGCCATTTCCCCCCCCCCTTGGGGCATAGGTCGATTTTTTGTATTCCTCATCCTCATCGAGCAGCACACCGACATGCCACCCACCTCAGTTTTCCAACGAGGCCGATGAGAGCGCTCCGGCGGAGGCCAACCCGCGCCAGCACTCGGCGGCACCGGCGGAGGCGGCGCGTACGACGCCACCACCGCCGTTGGATCACGTGGTGCCGGACGCTCCAGGTTGCGCCGCTGACGGCGCCGCCAGCGGGCAAGATGCACCCGCGCTGATGGCGGCCACTGCGGGTGGCGGCGGCGGTAGCAGCAGCCTTAGCGGCGGTGATGCTCTGCGCGCACCACCGAAGCCCTGCGTGATGAGGACGCCGCTGACTGGCACACTAATGCAGTACGGTGGTACGGCAGTACGGCAGCAGGGTGACGTGCGAGTCGGCACATCGGTGGGTCGTCAGTGCGCGCTGGTCGGCTGGGTGGGTGGGGTGTCTTGCGCCGCGTTGGTTCACCATCGCCAGTTGTCGTCGTGTCCTTTACCCGCCGCCGGCCGTCCGGGGCTGCAGAGAGAACTCGCTCTCGCGGCCGGCTCCAGCTCATTCCCTATCAGGGTGTCCGCGATGTCGCTAATGTTTCTTGCTCTCTATTATGCTGCCGACAGACTTTGCAGTTGTACGGAAATACGATTTTGGCACGTTCCATACCGCGACACGCTATTCGTGCGGCCTACCTTCTTACCATCCGTTACTGCGCGAGTTACCTACATGACTGTTCCATCGCGCGTGTGCGGGGGTGCAAGGGGCCGCGCCAGGGGGGTTAGGAGCCGCCCCGAACTCCCCTGATCCAGTCAGACAACGTCTCCGGACTTCCCGGCCGCCCCGCACTTTCCGCACACAGGGTACGGCGCTCGTTCCGACTCCCAGCACCGGAGCCGCCACCGCCGGCATCGCCGCGGCCGCCACCGGAGCCGCTGCCACCGGCGGCGGCGGGAATGTGTCTGGTAGCTCCGGCGGTAACGGCGGCGCCGACCCCTTACAGACCCGCCTGCTCGGTGTCAAGAGCCCCAATGTGCTCCGTACAGATGAAGCGGCGGAGGCAGGGGTTGATGCTGTGGCGGCGGCGGGTGCGGAGCCGCAGCGTTCCTCAGACGCCGCCTTATCCCAGATGTCAACGTTGCCGCCTCAACAGTCAGGCCCCGCTGCCGCCGGTGACCAGTCACACACGCCGACGTCTTCCTCCCCCTCCTCTCTTGCCGCTTGGCTGCTGGCCGCCGGTGGCGGTGACGTCAGCGGCAATACTCTGGACAGTCCGCAGGCCTTTCTTGCGTCCCTTGCAGCTACCGGTGGTGGCGGCGGGGGGGGACCCACCAGTGCCGCAACTATCTCCGCGCCGCTGCGCGGCGTTCTTCTGCCGAGGGGTAGTGGATCGAGCTTTCGCATGCGAACAAGCTTAACAGGCGTCAGCAATAACAACAGCGGCGGCGGTGGTGGTGGCAGCAGCAATAGCAGCAGCTTCAATGCGCACAGCAGTCACCAGGTCGAAACCCAGTGGGATCGTATGCGTGAGAGCGCGCCGGGGGCCCCGCTACTGCCGACGCCGCACCAGCAACAACCCCAATATCCGCACCAATCCACCGCACAAACCCCCAGCCAGCCTTCAGTCGTCAATTCCCACAACACGGCACTCTCTGGCGGCGGCTGGCCGAGTAGTCAAGGTGCCTCTTTCCGCAGCCGGCTTGGCGGTTACGGCGGCAGCCGCGCCAGGACCACCTCCCAGCTCGAGATTGCGATTGGCAATACGTCAATCGACGCCTTCGCCGCGCCTACACAGACGGCGGCGCCGGCGGCAGCGGCTTCGCCACCGCTGCCAAGGGCCGTCGCCTTCGGCGGCGGACGCTCGATTAGCTCCCGTCACGCATGGAGGGAATTTCCGGAGATGCTGCGGTGCAGAAGCAATTTGGATACGGCGGCGGCGCGCAGCGCTAGCGGGGGCGGCGCCGGCGGGGTCGCAGACGCTGCACGCGGAGGTAGTACGGCCGCTGTCACTGTGCTGGCGCTCGCGGCGCTAGCGGCGACCAAGCCTCTGGAGTCTCACCACCTACAGATCCCTTGAGGCCGAGGCGGTGAGTGTTGTAACCTGGGCGTATCACGTGATCTGACATCCGCCAATGCTGCAGCGGCAGCGGCGGGGTGACCTGGCTCCCCATGGGGTGGCGAGGTATTTGATATGCTGTTGGAGCCAATGTATCTCTTGGTGTTGGTGGTGTTGGTGACTGCGGAAATTGTCTAGGTTCATAAGCTGTTGGTGCTTGGATTGGGGGGACACGAGCTCGCTCGTGTGCGTTTGTATGTGTATGTACATCGGGCCCGGGGGAATCCCTCGCAGGTTGAGGAGATGAGTGCCGCACACCTGCTAGGCCCCCAGGAAGCGCTTTGCTTCCCTACCCCTACGTGTGTGTACCGTCGCACGCTGCGCCCGTACGTTGATGTGAACCGTTGTGCGCGTGAGGTGGGGTTAGGTGTTGCGTGGTGGGGTGCTGCGCTCCTCATCTGCTTCGTCTTGCCGCGAGACCCGCCGTAACGCTGTGTTATGGGCAGTAGACGCCCGGCGATTGTCGGTGAAAAAATACCACCCTGCATATCAAAAATTAAAAGTAGCTACGTGAAGCCCGATGGTGACGTCAGATCTTCCTCCATGAGCTGTCGCGTGGTGAGAGTGCTGTACGTCTCATAACGTGTTTTAAATATTAGTTTAAATTATGATTGATTTTACATGCAACTTGCCTATTTCTGACCGCATCGTCGTATGAGCAAGTTGTGATATGGCAAATTATGGCAGATATACATACATACATACCCTTCGTGGCAGGCGGCTGGCAGAGGTTAAGGCCTGACTTCTGCTCCCAGTCGACCCAGTCGACCCGGGTTCAAATCCGCCTGCCGGCTCCTCGGGTGTTTGAGGAGTGATGAAATGGGAGGTGGCCCCCCATCTTATGGACGGTGTAGGACGTGATAATATCAACTTGCGAGCTGACCAGGAACTAAGTTGATGCGCCGTTGATCCGCTAGATTTGGTTGGATGCTGGTGGTGAGTTGCCGAACCCAACGAATACATTCTGAAGTCGGATGGGGTGACGGATTAGGGTGCCCCTCTAGCAGGGGAGAGCAGGGACTGCCCCGGGAAAGGGGGCCGCTGGCGAAGTTAACCACCCTGTAACAACATACATACCCTTCGTGGGGTTTTCAATGCAGCGCCATCCCCGGATGGAGGGGCTGCGGAGTGGCTGCGTAGAGTGTTGGCAGTCTGAGTCGGGGTCGGGAGCACACAAGACTAACCGACTTGTGCTGTGTGCTCCCGACCCTTGCGCTGTGTTTCGGCTTCGGCCCCCGGCTCTCGCGGCCCACAGTGTAATCTAAGTCATACATACATACATACATACATACATACACACACATACATACATACATACATACATACATACATACATACATACATACATACATACATACATACATACATACAGACATACATACATACATACATACATACATACATACATACATACATACG